CGTCAGGATTGCTAATTGTACGCCAGTGCGCACCTGAGACACGCGAGGCACCTTGGGTCACTCGAGCAAACATGCGATGCGGGTGCACAGCCAGAATCGGAGCAAGCACCGCTCACTATCCCACCTCACGATCCAGGTCAAACGCGATTCTCTCTCACGATCCTCCTCCCACTGCATCCATCCCTCCCCACCTCCTGGACATGGTGGAACTGTCGAGAATCCGACAGACTCCACTTCATCATGGCGCGCCAGACGCACGATGGTAGGCCGCGCCGAGCTCTGATTGGACCACCTACGCAGCGCTCCGCACCAGTGACAGTGCGCGGGCGAAAGGCCCAGCACGGGATGACTCGCCTCGAGCCCATCCCTATCGCTAGGATTGACAAGCCCAGGGCGATGACAATCCGAGGGGTGTGCCATGAGTAACTGGGCGGATCCTCGAGACCAGCACCGACATAAGGCGATGCCAATCTGAGGGATAGGGATACCATGCAAGCTGACAACGGGAGCCGGTGCGCCCTGGGGACCCAGACATCCAACGCCAAATGGTTTCGCAGTGCGACTCCCCAGAAGTCTGGACCTCTTCCAGGGGGAGCGGCCCGTCATCCTGAAGAATAGCTTTTGACTGTCCCAGCGCCTGGCGACGAACTCCAGAGGCCCAAATTAGCATGGCGAAAGACCCAACCATATGCAGTTGTGAGTAACGCAGTTGTGAGTACCGTCTTCGGTGGAGGTCCTCATGGGGCCGCGAAACGTGTGAGGGATGTACCGAAATGGGCGCGGTGGGGGCATGCAAACGCGTGTGAAGAGTGTGCCCCAAAATGTGTGCGGCAGCGCCATGCGAGCGCAGCCACTGGAACCCTCGGTGGAGTTCCCTATGCGGACACGAAACGTGTGAGAGGTGTGCCGAAACGAGCGCGGTGGTAATTACCATCAGCCACTGGGGCCCTCGGTGGAGTTGGGCCACGAAGCGTGAGGGGTGTGCTGAAATGGGCGGCGCGGTGGTGCCATGCGAGCGCAGCCACTGGGGTCCTCGGTGGAGTTCCCTATAGGGCCACGAAACGTGTGAGGGTGTGCCGAAATGGACGCGGTGGTGCCATGCGAGCGCAGCCAGTGGGGCCCTCGGTGGAGTCCCCTATGGGGCCACGCAACGTGTGAGAAGTGTGCCGAAACGAGCACGGTGGTGCCAAGCGAACGCAGCCACTGGGGCCTTCGGTGGAACTCCCTACGGGGCCACGAAACGTGTGAGGGGTGTGCCGAAATGGGTGCGGTGGCGCCATGCGAGCGCAGCCACGGGCCCTTCGGTGGAGCTCCCTATGGGGCCACGAAGCGTGTGAGGAGTGTGCCGAAATTGTTGACTGGTGCGGAGGGCAGGGGCAGGGATGGGAGGATGGGGACGAGGGGGCAGCAGGAAGAACGCGGGGCGCTATCTCTTCAGAACGAAGGCCCAACACCACAGGATGGCCGGGAAGCATTAAAAAGACCTTCCGTCATGTTTGTTTCTCGGCGCGAGGATTGTTCACCGAAAACAACCAGGACAAGCAGATCGAGAAATCCGCTGCCCCTCAGGCGGGCTATCCCAATCGCAAGACTCACGGACAAACGAGCCTACCGAGACATTCGCCCCGCCAATCGGAAAGCAAATGAATTGCATCGCAATAGAAAAAGCTCGGCGGCAATCTCTGCAGTCGCCACTGGGACAAGGCTGTGCGACCAACAAAACGACACCAAGATTCCGAGGAGGAGCGATACAGTCGGGGGTGATTGGAGAGGACGCGCGAGAGGACACAAAACCCTTCCGAGGTCCGCATTGCCGTAGGAATGTAGAAGGCATGGGTCGCGAAACACCGTACACTAGGGTACCCTTGATTTGGCAGGGTCAACCTACTAGTCAGCCTCGACTGTACAGAGGACGAGGTGGAGGAGGAGGAGCAGGAGGAACGAATGAGGATGCCTGATGATAAGGATGCCCGGGGAGGAGGAGGGCTTGGGGCGGAGACGGGCCACCCGAGGCGCCAAAAAGTTAGCCTGGCAGAGGACCCAACCATATGCAGCTGTGAGTACTGGAGTTGTGGATATCGCCTTCGGTGGAGCTCCCTATGGGCCACGAAACGCTGTGCTGGGTAAGGGAGACGCATGTGGATACCGCCATTGCCACAGGGGCCTTAGGTGGAGCTCCCTATGGGGCCACGAAACGCTGTGCTGGGTATGGGAGACGCGTGTGGACACCGCCACTGGGGCATTAGGTGGAGCTCCCTATGGGGCCACGCAACGCTGTGCTGGGTGGGGGAGACGGAGGCAGGGATGGGAGGAGGGAGGAGAGAAGGGGAGGTGAAGGAGAGGAGAGGAGGTGGGACGCGGGGCGCTGCCCCTTCAAACCGAAGACCCGACACCACAGGTTGGTTGGGAACAAGACACCGCGGGCCCCGTGGCGCGCTCTGGGGCGGAGGGGGCGGGAGCGGCGCCTGCTCCTCGATGGTCATGTTGGTGTGGATGACGCCTCCAAGGCTCGGGGGATGCGGGCTGGACTTTCAGGGGCCGCGGCTCGGGCTCGAGGCCTGGCAGAAAGGCAGGCGGCAGGGGAGGGGAAGGCTTCTTGGGAGGCTGCTCCGTAGACGGCGCGGGCCCCACATCTATAGACGAGGCGCGCGCGCCTCCCAAGGGGCAGCCTCCTTCTAAGAAGCCTTCCACCCCCCCCTCCCCCCACCCCCCACCTGCGCGTGGCCGAATGTGGGGGCCGCGGCTCGGGCTCGAGGCCCGGAGGGGAGGCGAGGGGGGGCCAGCTCCCGGGGTGCCTTCTGCTCTTGCGGCGGTCGTCTGAGGAGCGCGCGCAGAGCCAGGCCTCTCCAGGAGGACCCCCGCGGGCACCACCTCTGCCCTCCGCGGCCTTCCCTCCTGCCAGTAGCAGGAGGAGCAGAGGCTCCCACCCTCCGAGAACCGATCTGCCCAAAAGGCCCCCGAGAGTGCCCCAAGACGGCTGGACCGCGCCCCAAGACGACCCAAGTGGCCTCCAAAAGCGCCCCAAGAGGGGCTCAAAAGGGGAAAGGGAAGGAGAGCCTTGTCCCCAAAGATTACCCCCATCCCCCCCAGCTCAAGCAGCCCGCCAAGGCATGGCTGAAGCCGAGCAGCCCAGCAGCTGTCATGCGATGTCGTGTTTTCCGGATACGGACCTACCTTGTGACGCCGAGCGGCGACCTTGCGTGGCGGAGAACACATCAAAATTATCAAGATCCAAAGCGCGCAGACTTCGAGATAGGAGAGTGGCAATATGACAGGCCTTGGTCAATACCGAATGTTTCAAGCAACGCGTTCCATGTGTGAATATGCGACCCGACGCACCTGCAGATATGATGATTATGGCATCGTCTTCGAGCTATTCTGGTCTAGCTTCAAAATTGGATGCTTTAGAGCTGAAGTTATGGACAGTGAGAAGCAGACTGGAAATGACCCTTGGATATGACGGGCATGCAAGCGCAGGGACAAGCACTGGAGAAGTATCGCAGCCCCGACCCTTTCCATACAATGCGGACTCAGATCAGATCGGGAGATATAGAGAGAGGGAAACTATTCGGGAAGTGCGCGTGGAGATTCGCAGAGGGTACTTGGGTGAAATAGGAGGGGGAAGATATAGTATGAATTTTCTGGGTGGCCAGTGTTGCAAAGACCTCCGTATAACTATTCAGTGTTTGCGGCAGTATTGTAAAGAAGCGATATGTCAAGCACAGCAGTCATTTGCTTCACTGAAACAGGTTCATGAAGTACAAACGGCAACGGCCTCTTCTGCTACATGTTATGAGCTGGTGGCAGCCCGCGCAGGGCGCGCTCCGGCGCACGCCGACCACCCCCCTCCACACAACTCCTGGCTCTACCAGCTCCCCATGGCATGGTGCAGGTTACATGTGATTCTGCGCCATCGTGCACTTTGCAAAATAATTGATACCATCCCAGGCAGGCAGCATCCTTCTCGCACCCCCCCTCCTCCCTGTCCAATAATACTATGCGCGCGCACTCGTTTATCAAAACAAAGGCTAGATAAACGAGTCTGCCAGAAGCGATCAAGAGGCCCAGAAGAGGCCCAGAAGAGGCCTCCAAGAGGCCCCGAGAGCCCCTTCAAGAGGCCTCGAACAGTTCTGGAGAGGCATCCCAAAAAACCGCATCCAAGAGGCCTTTGGTTCACAACCCAAACACGTTAGCAGGTTCGGCAGAAAGCCACTAAATACATTTGTTTGCCAGCGTGGACCCTAACAGTACGTCGTAGCACTGTGGCTGTACACTAGGTGTGGTGCAAGCTGTGTGGAGTAAGCTATGTGGTGCAGTATGCGTGGTGCAAGCTAAAGGCGGCAACGAGGAGGCAACGGGTTGCACCGTGGCGAAACCTCGCTGGACCCACCCATCGCGCGAGGCGGCAACGAGGCGGCAACCGGCGGCAACGTGGCGAAACCTCGCTGGACCCACCCAGCGTACGAGGCGCTAACGGGCAGCAACGTGGCGAAACCTCGCTGGACCCACCCAGCGCACGAGTCGGCAACGAGGCAGCAACGAGGAGGCAACGGGTGGCAACGCGGCGAAACCTCGCTGGACCCACCCAGCGCACGAGGCGTCAACGACGCGGCAATCTCGCCGGACCCATCCAGCGCACGAGGCGGCAACGAGGCGTCACTGGGCGGCAACGTGGAGAAACCTCGCCAGACCCACCCGGCGTACGAGACGCTAACGAGGAGGCAACGAAGCCGCAACATGGCGAAACCTCGCCAGACCCACCCAGCGCACGACGCGGCAACGAGGCGGCAACAAGGGTGCAACGGGCGGCAACGTGGCGAACCCCCGCCAGACCCATCGAATCCCTCAGTAAACGAAGCAAGAATCCCTAAGTGCAAGCACCGTTTGAACTATAAGACCACCCGTCGGGTGATAAGGAGGTTAGGGTGATGGGTGCAGTTTCTGGTCTGTGCTTGGTGTCGGATCAGATTCGCGCTCTATCTAACGCGTTCGACCGACCGGTCTAGACATCGGTATCACAATATACCAACGTACCACACTACCAAAAGTAGCGATGTTTATACATATATGTCGATATCACTCTCCCCAATGTGTAAGAATATATATGTATATATATATTATATTATATATATTATATATATATATATATTATATATATATATATCGCTCGTACATGAGAGGCGCCACAGGGGTCCTTCCGAGGCCTACGCGGGCACTCTAGTCAACTCCACGAGCGCCACAGCAGCCCGTCGAATTTCGTACAGATGGCCAGTCCACTCCTCTTGATGGGGCGACGGCGGACGGGAAACACGTGCGGTGTTATACATGTGGAACGCCATGACTATGGCCTCCACAGTTTCAAGAGTCGGGGCCCCATCCAGCCGAATCCTAGTCAGCACACAATTCGGGGGGCCACGGTCTCTAGCGTAGGCCAGACCCCATAAAGCATCGCACCGCATATAACGGGCAAAGACATCAGGGGCTGGAATCAACGGGGGCTCACGACAGCCGAATTTACATGACTGTACTCCGCCAGCGGCATGAAGCCTGGCCGATGTTAGCCACGCTCCTGCTATTGCCTTCAGAACAGCACTCTGCCAGGCCGGGCTGACCTGCTCAAGGATAGCACGGAGAGGAGGCCAGGAGTGGCGGAGAACCCCGAAGCCCCATGACTTCAGACGCCGCGCCAGCACCACGGGAAAGACGTCAGGAAAGAGGGGGGAGTGCAGGGAACGAGATATAGTTTTCTGGATCCGCACGCGCGCTGCCCGTTGCTCGGCAGCGGCGCGCTCCTCGGCCAGCGCGCGCCACGCCAGAGCGGCGCGGCGCGCGATCCTGCCCTCATTCACGAAGCCCTCGAAGGCGGCAGCCAGGCCGCAACCACTGGCTGCGTCCTCCAGTGGACTGGCGCGCGACGCGCCTGGCCGATCGCCAGGAGGGAGCCGTGGTCCACCGTCTGCTCCTCCATCCATACGTGGAGGCTCTGCCAGTTGGTGACCGCGGAGGCAGCCGCTCTCATGAGTGACGCGAGCCCCGTGGCGAGCATTGACCTGATCATCAAGGAGGGAGCCCACTGCCCTAGACTGAGTAAGTCATCTCTGGACAAGCTCTGCGGCGGCATGTGCCAAATCTTCGTGATCGCCCACGCCCCCCGCCCCAACAGTTCCTTGGGCACCCGCGCCAGCTGCTGGAGGTACCCCAGCACGGGAAGGATCCTTTGGTTGTAGAGCTTGGCCGAGAGCGAGACATGCGCCCCGCACTGGGCCAGTTCGAGGACACGAGCCTGCCACTTCGCGGCTGCCTTCCTCCATACGTCAAGCTCCGATGCTCCTGGCCCAACCATGTACCCCAGGTACCCGGCGCAGTCCTTAACCGACATGGTGGCCCAGCTCGGGAGCCAGTCCTGCAGCCACTTCACGAGCTCCGACTTGGACTCCTCCGTTACGGGGCCGCCCAGGGGGGCGAGCACGCACTTGGCCAACTTCAGCCGAAGCCCTGCCAGCACTCGGGCCGCCTCGAACGCCCGCCCCATGCCAGGGAGGAAACGCCTCGATCGTAACACTGCTCCCACATCGTCCGCGCACACGCCCAGGGCCGAGTACTCACTCCTGTCCGTGTACTTCTGCATGTGGTGAATGAACGGGTTCACGATGATCGCCCAAAGTGAGCCTGACGACGGGCAACCCTGTGCCAGCCCGCAAGTGATGCATGCAAAGTGAACCATCGTGCCAGCGATCTGAATATACGCCGTGGGCAGCCAGTACAGCGCAGCAAGCGCAAAGAGCAGGCCCCCCTCGAAGCCTGAGAAGACCATCATCGCAAAGAGCCACTCGACCCTCAGCGACGGGAACGCGTCGCCAAAGTCGTACAGCGCCAGCACGGGCTTGAGGACGGCTACATCATCCTGGTAGCCCGCAGCGCGAGCCTTCGTGTCCAAGAGCGTGATGTTGTCAAGGAAATTCCGCCCTCGTAGACATCCTCGCCGTGGATCGGGCGAGGCGCATTCCACCGCGCCCTTGATGCTGAAGTTGACTGCCGCAGCCACCAATTTGCAGTCTGAACTCTTGAGCGCAATCGCCCGAGTGGACCCTGGCGACCGATAGAGGCCGTCGGAGAGGTCCTCCTCGAAGGACCCCATTGGGTAGGAAGGCCATCAGGCGATCGTTCCAGTCGACGGGCGGCGGTAGCCCTGCCGCTATGTCAAGCACCACATCCTCGATGGAGGCCACCGCCGCTGGGCACGCCCGCCACGCCAGATACGGCAGCCCGTCTGGGCCAGGGGCGGACTCCTTGGCCCTCGTCGCTGCCAGAAGCAGGGAACGCTTGTCAGGCGGCAAGATGTCCGCCACCGCTAGCCTCGGAGCGTGCTCCTTCATGTAGCGCTCGGCCAACCTCTCCCAGTCATCAATCTGCGCCCCGGCCTGGAAGATGGGGGCCCAATGCTCACGAAGCGCACCCAACATGTCCTCCTGGCCGTGCAGCACCTGGACCCCGCCATTC